CTGAATGTCTTCTTGATGGCTTTGGGTCAGAATCATGCTCAAGGCTGAGCATTCTAGGACGTAGGCCAGCAGAACGGCTGAAGTGATCATGGAACGTGGAGGGAAAGAAGCATACTGAGCATGAGGGTGACGTACGGTTTTAGTGAAACACGAACGGTTGCCGCACCTCGATACACTTGAAGGCGAACCTTCGCAACGGATGGGTCATGTCGATTCTGATTGCAATGCTGAGCTGGGCCGGCCGTTTTCTCCAGCCTGCATTGACGAAACTGGACGTGGAGATTCTGCAAGAACTTCTTCTAAATGCTACCGGCGGTGTCTAGCGGAGACCCTGCAGCATCCTGCAGCGTCTGCTTTTCCAAGAGGCGGCTTGGGACAGTTTGGAATCGTCAATTGTCGATCAGATCCCCAGCTGTTTTTTCGATGTGAATTCATAGGCCGATCATGCCAGCTTGAGCTTGCAACGGCTCACGCTACATTGCCCCACAATGCCGGGTACTGGTTTAGTGGACGAAACCTGCAGGGGTCAAGCACAGCGTGCCTTGAGGCGAACTGAATATGTAAGCACTCAGCAAAGCTACTGTAGGCGAAGTTGTGTCGCAATGTATGCTCTCCACTTGTCTCTCATTGCTTTGCATGACTGGTTTACGTACTCTGCCGGTTCTGGCGAATTTTTGTTGTGTTGTTCCCATGTCATGTTCGAGTATGATGTCTCGCACATTTTGCAGCACCAGTTTGAGCACATGATGCCGTAGTTTGTGATGCACATCTTGTATGTATGCGTTTGTTGCATCTTTGTCTCAGCACAATAAGTATTGTAAGGTACATGGGTGAACAGAGAAACACATAGGCAGATTCATTGAAGAAAGAAATACACAAATTCACGCACACATATTTATGTATGATCATAAAACTATTCATATACCTCCCCATAGTTATTTGTTTTTATGTGTGTATACGTATGTACATATATGTATACACATGTGTGTTGGTGTGGACATACTTGCTTCGTTTATCCTTTGAATCGCCGTGCGCATACAACTGATTGCTGGCAATTCTGTGTCTGAGTATGCTAGGGGTTGGGAATTCAGTACTCTGGATTTGTTTTCCGGTGGTCAGGCTCAAAGGTTGGGCGCTTTTTCCAGAAAGTCCTGCAGAGCGGTGCAAGCAGGACCTTCAAGAGAACCCAATTCAGAACAACCTGCCATTAATTGTCTGGGCTATATCTAGAGGCATATCAAGCACTTGAACCAGTCAAGGACAGCTAGAAACTGTCAGACTGAAGACTACTGTAGTGGATACATACACACACACATACATACCTACATACATGCACACACACATACATACATACACACAAATATACACATTTCTCTATATCTATATATATATATATATATACACACATACACATAGACATGTATTTATACACATGTATACATGTACATATGTCTCTACATATATATATATATAAATATATTTATTTATTTATTTATTTATTTATATATACATACACACACACACACATGTTTTTAGGTGTATGAGCATGCGCGAGCGTGTGTGTCTGTGTTCTTGCATGTTCGCCGCCTGCGTCGAGCTTTGGCGCAGTTCTGTGACTGTGAATGAATTCTGAACATTTCTGAACTTCTATGGTATGGTGGTGGACTGGACATGTGTCGTGGACAGTCTGTATGAAACCTTCAAGCCTTGCCTGCTGCTTGATCACGTCAACAAGAGGGGTGTGAGTATCACAACTCTCCTGACGGTAGGGCGCGCTTATTGGATGTCAACCGTTTGCAATGCGGCGCAAGTAACCTCCGAAGCTACGCAAAAGAAGAGCAGTCAACCTCGAGCACCTGCAGAAATTCAACGGTAAGGAACTTAGAGGAAGGAGGCCAAGGTTCGTGGGCTGTTCGGGTGGAAGTGATGGTCGAAAGCTTTGGAGCAACAGGCGGTAAGTGCTTGCCCATAGCTCATTGCATGTTCCTCATCTTGATCCTCTTCAAATGTAGTTTCAGCAACTGTCTGAAGAGACTGCACGTAGGGCCCAGGTTTGAACCCTGTTTGCACCAAATGTCGCCCCTTACGGATCTGTGGCCGGGGGTGGGGTTTCATTATTTGGGCCTTGGGCTTGCGGCTTGGGTCATGCCAAGCGCGACTACGACTAGTCAGGGCCTCAACCCCGAAACATCGGCCAGGAAGGTTCCTGGAACATCCCGCTGGAGAGCCGTCTTGGATGGAGCATTGCGCCGGCTGCAGAAAAAGCCTTGAACGCGGCGTGCATGGGACGTGATTTTTGGGCAGTTTTTGTCGTCCGGGGGTTGTACGCGTGTTTGACGAATTGAGAGCACTTTGCAGCCCTCTCCATAGTGTCTCAGCTGTGAACAAGCCCCAACGTAGAAGAACACCATGCAAAGACATCCTTTTCAATCAAGCCGACATGAAAGGGAGAGCATCAACAGGCGCATGTTATCCATCCGCTGCGACATTTACTGACTTTGAACCTTGGAAAGCCGAACGTGACATTCCAAATTCACATATGGACAACTGCGATGCAGCTGGGGCTCTCAGGTCGTTTCGCATGGCCCCATCCTCCCTCAGAACCCAAAGCCATGCCCATCAAAAGTCTCATCATGTCATCATGGATACTGTCCCTATAATTGCCGATTTCGCCTTCCAAGGCACAGCCTAAGGCCTTGCTCTGTTCGGATGGCCGACGGCCCCTCAACCCTGGAGCGGAAAACGGCAAACCTTCAGTCCGGAGTCCTGAGCCCACAACCTTCCAGAGATCGCCGTTTTTGAGTTGGAGCACTGCGACACTCAGAGGGTTGGGTGCGAAGTTATTCTTCCGGTGCCATAAAAAGAGAGGAGTTGGTAATCCGTTGCCACGGCGATGGGAGGGGGGGTTAGAGTTCCGTGGCTCCGGGTCTTGGCTTGAGGTTGGCTTTAGAGTCGGACTCGGTTCTGGATCACGAGTTTTTATTTACAGCGTTCGAGTGCAGCGGGCGGTTTGTGGTGTGTTGGCGGATTTAGGTGGCTTTTGGTCGAGAGGCACAGGGGCCCGAATTTCATCCTTCTTGCGTTGAAGAGTTTTGTTGAGTTTTGGGTCTCAACGTCTGACTGCCTATGGTGTAAAGAGAATCTGCTGCTCTGCAGTTCCTGCGGTCCTTGAGGGATCGACGCAGTTGTTCACATCAGGGTGTTTCAGAGCCCAGGTCGTAGTCTATGCTTGATTGCTACTTTGTTGCACGGCTTCCAGGCTCCGTGAGGTTCGAGCCACTGGAAGCCTCAGTGCGTTTTCAGGGATTCAAGCGCAAGACGTCTGCGTCCGAGGTCTTCTCTCCTTATGTCGCGGTGTCGGCAGAGTCCAGGGAGCAGGAGCTCTTCGTGGTCAGCCGCGAGTTGTTTCTGGATTCTAGCAACAACAGGATGTCCCGACAGCGGTAGCAACCATGGCCTTTCCGACCAAACCCGTCTCTGCCACATAACGCAGGAACAGCGCCAACAAAATCAACAGCAAGAGCAATCCACCGCCCAGCGCCAACAAAATCAAAAAGAGCAGTGAACCACCACCACCACCACCACCACCAGCAGCAGCAGCAAGAAGAATAACAACAAGGTTACGAACAAGAACAACCATGTTAATCAAAGCAGCAAAGAACAGGAATGCGCAGTGGGAGCTAGGGTAATGAGAGGCGACAATTAAGCCACAAGGGATTGTTGTGACGCACTTTTGGCTTACAACTTACTTGGTTAGGCTGCAATCCAAAAAACGTCGCAGCGTTCTAGTGGCCCCATGCAAACAGGAAGCAGTTCTAAAGCAAAACTGTCTCAGGCTTGACAGGTCTGGACTCTGAGTGCAGTACCATACACAACTTCCTGGCAGCTTTCGTGAATCCACATGTGTGAGCCTTGCTCGAGCTGAAGCCTTCGCTTGACAACCTTTCCGCAAGTACAGTGGCATCAGCAGCTGCTGCGGTAGTCCTGTGAAAACCACAGAACGCACGAATGCCTGTCCCTCCCAGAACGAGCCTGCACGCCCCCTCGAGCCACCAAAGCCTTGTGGAACCCAGAAAACCTGTTTGCAACCTGTCGGCTTTAGCAGGAAACTGTTAAGGAAAGCCTGACGGTTCGATTTTGCGACTACCTTCACGAAGTCTGGCATGTCGATTGTAGCGTAAGTTAGACTGCTCAGCGGCAAAACAGCAACTCTTACGGTGGGCTTGGATGAGACTCTCCGGACTTTGAGCCGACGGGCACAGAAGGCACTTGGAGCCGGTAAAGGGCGCCTGCTGGACTCCGCTGGAGTTGTTCTGGATGGAAGCCAAGCGATCACAACCACTGGGATTCAGAATGGGAGCTCGCTGACGTTGCACATAAGTGCACTTAATATTCAAGCCACTCGTGGCGCCTTCACTGGCATCCTTGGCGATGGATCGGTCGTGATCTGGGGCTCTGCTGAATTGGGTGGCAACAGCAGCGCTGTGCAGAGTCAGCTGCAGGACGTGCAGCAGGTCCAAGCCTCTGATGGTGCTTTCGCTGCCATCCTTGGCGATGGCGGTAGTGACCTGGGGTGCTGCTTTGTATGCTGGCGACAGCACCGCTGTACAGGGTCAGCTGAAGAATGTGCAACAGGTCCAAGCCTCTGTTGGTGCGTTCGCTGCCATCCTTGGCGATGGATCGGTCGTGACCTGGGGGTTCTGCTTTCTATGGTGGCGACAGCACCGCTGTACAGGGTCAGCTGAAGAATGTGCAGCAGATCCAAGCCTCTAGTAATGCTTTTGCTCTGCAGGAAAAGACTGATGCCCCACCTTGCGGCAGCAATAGCGAGCAATCTCAAGGTGGTACGTCTCATTCTCCCTGTACATGCTACTGGCCCGCGTATCGGTTGTTAACGGACCCAAAGTGAAACCTCCGAAAGCCTTCGCATTGCTTACCCCGGCCCGGCTCCGTCTCCCGCGAAGGAGAAGACGTCGACCGGCCTCCAGAAGGTGCATCTGATGAAGAACAAGCGCGGCAAGGCATCCGTGCATCACTTCTGCAGCAGTTTCGTGTTACATCCTCTTGTTCCAGATAGAGACTGCTTGCTCGAGGGTAGTCCAATGCTGCCTTACATCCCTCTCTGTCTCTGTCTTCGAAAACACGCGAGTTGCTTGTTGTTGAGACGACTTGTCAGACCGTCTATGTGCGCTTGCGCTCCTCCGGTCTCTTTGCCATCAGGTGGTCACCAAGAAGCAGCACGCCATTGGCAAGGCGTTGTTCAAGAAGACCGGCCAGCGATGGCTCGAGGCGAGCATGACGGCCAGGAAGGAGTTGGGAGTCAAGGGCTTTTGTGCCATTGGCGGAAAGAGCGCTCAGGGCAAGGCGCTCTATATGCCAAGGCCAAGTCGCTGTACGCGGCTTGAGTCCCGCATTAACGGGCACAGGATTGCGCCTGCTTTCGTGGTAGTTCACGGAGCGTGCGCGCCTCGCACAAGACGAGCTTGCAGGTGCCACTGAACAGCTGTCAACGACTGCACCGCTACTCGATTCCTCGATGCGACAGAGCCCGCCGGACATGAGAGCCCTCAGCGAAGGCCGAAGTTCAAACGTCTGATCCATCAGAGCAAATCCTGAATGCTGCAACAACGACAACGTTTCATGCTCTCGAGAGTCGAGAACGCAGCGTACAATGTATGGCGTCACAGTCATGGCAGCATCTGTGCAAGTTGAAGATGGCACTGCTCCGCCCAGCCTACCTCATATGCCATTCATGTTGGGCCCCACTTCTCTCCAGCTTCGCGCTCCGTAGAATCGACTTGCCTAGGCCGAAAGCTCGTGCTCGATTGCGAGTGTCCCAATTAAAGGTGTTTACGTTGGTTGAAACTTAGAGCAGCAGCAATGTCGCCGTAGAGCGGCAGGAATTCAGTAATAGTGAGCAAAAACGGAAGAGAGCTGTTAGATGCGTGATACCTACGGCCTCCGGCTCCTGTATACCTACCTGCAGAGGGGGAGATTTCGTTTCCCATGTCCATCCAAGAACAAACCTGCTTACTGCCGTTTTGAGGGCTTAGGGTCTGCAGGGTCGAAGGCAGACTGCACACGTAGCTGAATGCTTCCAAGATCTTGCGGGCACCCATCGAGATTGCAAGTTTTTGTCGCAGGTCTTAGCCGGGACCGGAGGGTCAAGTCCTCCTACATGCGGTGCTCCGGTACATCTCAAATGAAACATCGGTTGAAGATGACAGAGAGATGCCGCGAGAAAGGTGCCGGATCAAGTCTGCAGATTGAGGCTTGCTTCACAGTCGCAGGGTGCGAGAGAATGGTAACACAATGCGAGACGTTAGTAGGAATCAGGGCTGTGCTGCAGTCCACTCCGGCCTCCTAGCGTCACCCGTTAGGCACCGTGTCCGCCACAATGCAGCAATGGAAGCAGAGCCTTCCGTGCCTGCCCAGCTTCTTGATCGTTGCCATCTTCTGCAATCTGAACCTCGGCCCAGTGAACTCCTTTAAGTTTAACCTGGAGCCAGACGACGCAGGCATCCATAATGAATCTGGGGACAACAACACATGGGATGCAGAACATGCCGGGCTTCTCGAGGATGATTCTGAAGATGATCCGAACCTTGAGAGTTGGGGCAAGTTTGCTGATTTGGCTGTGGCCTTCCCCTTGGCGATGCAAAACCTGACCAACTATTCCGGTCTGATCAAGAAAACATCACCTACAAGTTTGGAAACGTGCAGGACCAGCTGAGTGGTAGCTTCTGGCATGGGGGAACAAATGGTATCTCTCAGAGTTCTAGTTGATAAGTTGATAAGCTTCTGACATGTTTGGAGCATCGGCTCTTGATCTTGGGTTCCGAGTCGCACAGCACAGGATGACGAGGCTCTCCTTCATGACAAGGTCTCAGGGTTCTTCACGGTGCTCCATGCAAGTATGGATGGGCAAGACGGTCCTCTACATTGTCCTCGGCATTCACTGAAACACATCAAGGACCTGTTGTTCTCCAGTCTAAAGACTTATGGATCAATCGTCGATTCTCCTGTCCTCCGTTGGAGTGCGCGCGCTCTCCGAAAGAATGATTTTGTAGATGTCGGTTATAGTCATTGATCCGCACCGTGAAGTCTTAAATTCGAGGCTCAGCTGGAGCATTTTCCAGCTTCGGCTGGCCGGCGAGATGTCAGCTGAAATTGATTGCTGTTTCGGAGGAATCCCACAATCAATCCCATTGGGTGGGCTTGCCTGGAAGACAATTTTTTTGCAAGTTTTTTTATAGTAACGGCTGGTCATATGCATATCGGTCGCCGGTTTCTGTCGGTTCGGAGCGCAGTCGGGCACTGGAGCATTATCAAAATTTGGCGGTTCGAAGTTTCCCAGATCCTGAAAAGATTGTTGAAGGCAGGTACCAGGGCTTCCAAGGCCTCTAGGCCACCGCATTGGTTCAGCCATTCGGCAGAACCTTGAAAGAGCAGGGCGTTGGGCCTGGGCTTGGAAAGTCCACTTGTAGGAAAACCCATTCGGGTACCTTGCAATGCATGGACAGCACATTATGCTGCCCCGCATGGAGAGGAGAGGGACAACAGCAAGGAAACTGCACGGAGCGCGCAGAATGAGTGTCAATAGCAAGCAGTCCAGCAGTCCAGTTTTTCCATCGCAATTAAGGTTGTTCAGCTCTGTGGTGAAGCATCTTTCCGCAAAGCCAGCACTGTGGAAAACTAGCCAGCGGTCTTCCGGCCATAGCAGTTTGTCATATCAGCATATAGATTTGGTTCACACACGTGTGTGAACAAATTACTTGCCAAGAACATCGGCACCTCCGAAAGGTGTCTTCGGCATCCAAAGGGAGCTTCAACCCAGAAACCTTGCGTGGCAACGAAATTTAAGTTTCCCTGTTTACCTCGCCTGAGGAGTGCGTTGTGATAGCAAGCTGCCTGCTGCAGTCTCAGGTGCGCACGGGTAGAGCAAGCCATCTCTGAATCACACCAGACATGCAGCAGTTTGGGTCGCTTTGTATTTAAAACCCTGTACGGGCTGTGGATCTTGTTCTTGTCGTTCCGGATAACAGAGGGTTTCCATTATGAATGTTGGCAACATCAAAGGGTGCTGTCGATTGCACTCAGGATGGTATGCTCATGCTTTCCATGACGCGTGCCTTCTTACATAAGCCATGTTGCTTGATGTCTACTAATGCCAGCTCTGCGATCTTGAAACCTTCCAGTGGATTCCGGCTGTTGCGTCGTGTGCACAGGTCCCTCAGTATCTCGAGATGTCTATGTACGCATCCTTTCTCGAATTGATGGACCGCTTTGCTGAAGAAGCCTGGCCATTGATCGAGCGAGGCTTGGCGAAGGACATCCGGGCCATGCCGTTCCATGATGAGCAACACCAGTGCATCAAACGAGCTGTAGACTTAGGATGCAAAAGACTCACTTTCAAGGAAGCCATGTAAAGAATAAGGCCTTGTCAGTGAGCAGTCGTGGGGTTTCCCAATCCGCAGGAATCGAACTTTCGTTCGATAACGATGGACGAGCAAGTGCCAGCGAAATACCAATGCGATTCATTCTCGCATCCTCAGCCTTTTGTTGCGGGTCTTCAAGTGGATGAGGACTGGCTGAACAAGTCCAAACAAGGGTCGGTTGATATGCCAATGCAAAAATGCGAGAAGCAGCTGCAGCACGGGATGTTTTTGATCGGAGTCCACATTGTACTTGGTCTTGGCATTTTTGTTGTTTGCATGTTTTCTGTGTTGGCAGGAAACTGATTCTGCTCTGGCTATGTCTGCAGTCTTGGCAAGCAAATCGGATATCACCCACAAGCTACTGGACTCCCACATGCATAACATGTCGGTGAAGGCCCGGGCTGCCAAGCTGAACACGTGCTGATTGAGTTCTCGCTCAGTCGTTTTCGATGAGATCCCGTTCTACTTTAGTCGTGGTAATCCTTAAGGTAATCGTTAAACCCAAAGCCGTTTAAAACCTTAGATGCAGCTTGTCACCATGTAGTCTTCAGCTTCGCAATTCCGGCGTGCCTGGTCAAGGCCACGATCAGTCGGGTCATGGAGGTTTGGCGGCCGCTTTGCCTTGAAGCAAAAATCTTCTCTTGCGATGATGGCAATTGGTGGGATTTCCACTATTCTTCACACCGGCAGACGATGGCCCTAATGCAGACAGGTGCCGGATTACAGAACAGAAAATCAGGCTTGTCGTTAATGTGATGACTTTTGATGTTTCTTCTAGATGCAGGTTTGCCCGTAGCTCCTGCAAGGCAAAGGGGTTTGTTGGTGTGCACATTCCTCAGCACGTTTGTGTTCTAGTTGGTCCTACCAGCTCCTGCACGGAGCAGATTCCCACATCCAATGTGCGCCAGGTGCTGTCTCCACCATGCGGGCAGAGATCCGCACGCGACTCCGCCTGGAGCGCAGGGTCAAGGCTTTCATGTCGGCTCATGCCGACAGCTTCGGCGATCTTATCCAATCATCTTCCCGGGAAGGGGCCTACTTCGACATCACCAAGAAGTCCAAGGCATCATTCGCGACCTGGAAGGAGTACGGTACCTCGGCCTGGGCAGAGTCCAAACACTTGCGAGCCAGTTGGGCGCTATTGGCAAAGATTGATGTTGCGACAGGTTCCGCTGCACCATGCATTTGATGAGAGGTAGTTATGACCATCACCAGAAGCTGCAGTCCGATGGATTTCTCAAACTGAACATCTTCTCCCACTGCAGGGTGGTTCTCTGAAGCTGTTCATGTGGGATTCTCTCGTTCTGTAATGAACCAGGGCTGTTTAATATCGGTACGGTGCGGTACTGCCTTGCTGCGGTATGTTGCGGTATGTATTGCGCGGTACTGCGGGCTGACGGTTCTGTGCGGTACGGTACGCCCACCCCTCCACCCCTCACACCCCTCCACCCTCACCCCTCCACTCGCACCCCTCCACCCCTCCAATTGTGGGGAGGGGTGGAGGAGGTGTGGGTGGAGGGGTGGAGGTGGAGGGGGTGGATACGGGTGGAGGGGTGGAGGGGGTGGAGCGGTTGTTTTCGGTACGATACATTGCTGCGCGGTTCGGTGCGGTGCGGTAACGGTTCGGTGCGGTACTGCGAACTTGCATTGTGAAAACGGCCATGTGAACATGTCCGCAATGCATCGAAGCCCGCTTAGACCTTTCCTGTAGCCCTGCAAGCATGACGAGCCACGGCTTTGGCGTTTCTAAGGCCAAGCCGGCAAGAAAGCAATGCACAATTTTGTGCTGCCATACTCAAGGGCCACTGCTGCCGTCAACGCCACCCGCGCAATGGTATGGTTTGACCAGGCGCGGGCAGCATCAAGTCGGTCACTGCACTTGCATGATTTTCAGGCAATTCAATGGTCAGGTGACATGGATGTCATGGAAGATCAGAAACGCCTGCAAGATCTCCTGCCACCAGGTCGAGTTCGGGAAGTTTCAAAGGGATCAAGAGCTGGCGATTCAAAAGGCAGAGAGGCCAGCGGGTGCTGTGTGTTGCACTCCTGTCCGAGGGATGCCAATCGTCCAATTACCATGAAGCATGAAGGTGAGGGTCAAAGGGTATCAGAACGTCCCTGGAAGCGTGGGGAGATCGTTGATCCTGCTCGTTTGATGCCGTTTACTCGGTGGTCTGGTGTTGCAGACAAAGGCTTTCCATACGAGCGTTGTCTTTTTTCAGGTTCATTCAGGTCCTACTGCCGAAGGTCAGCCAAGCCAATTGCATTGCTGGAGATGGCCGTTTATCAGTTCTCTGAGATGTGGAACAGCTGAAGTGATTAAGCAGGCGTATTGTATGGTATTTGTCAGGTTCTCGTGGTTTGCAGATACTCCTACTCAAGTGGGATATACATGGTTTTGTCAGAGAGGCATAATTGTAAATAGTAGTTCACGCCCGACGCGGCTGCTTGCTTGGCAGCAGGCAGGAAACACCCAAGTCCTAAATGGGTTAATTGAGACCCAGGCAGTGCCCTCGTTCGATCCCAGGACAACGATCCGAAAGTATTAATAGAGAGTCGGGATGCAGTGGGAGGGGAGACGGCTCTAACTAGATTTGAATTTATAGATCCGGAGGGCCCCCCCCGCACCCGAGTACTGGAGTCCCTGCTCCAGATGCAGGGCCAAAGGTTCAGGACGAGTTGACAGGCAGGCCCTCGACAATAGTCCAATGAAATCCGTTCCGCCAGGAAGAAGAGTCCGAGAGCTCTGCTGGCAATGAGAGAAAGCGAGGTAGAGGCTGAGGAAGAGGATGAGGAGGACGAGAATGACGAAGGAAGTTCAAGGCGGCGGAGGAAAAAGAAAGGCGGATTTGGCAAAAAGCTGAAGAAAGGCGTAAAGAAAGCAGCGAAAAAAGTCAAGAAGACGGCGAAAAAGGCCGCCAAGGCAGTCAACAAGGCGGTCAAGGTGATCGAAGAATTCGTGACAGAACTTTTTGGCTGCATTGGAGATGTCTTTGAGATGCTAACCTTCGGGTATGAGATCTCGGTCGTCGAAGGCGGGAGTAGCATGCTTGGCAGATCGTGGCAGCATGCTGAACGTCGTTTGAACGTGTGAGCATGCATCTATTGAAGACTCCTGACTGAAGATGACTGAAGGTCTCGTGGCATTTTCGGCTGGGCTATCCGCGGGCGACATGGTGGGCATGAGCCGGCTGGGGCCCCACTTCACCTTTTGCAGCATGTCACACCTTGAAGCAGATTTCGATTTCGCTTCACTGAGGTTGCTCGAGGGCAAGGAACCTACAACCTGGATGTCGTTGGACGTGGGCTTTGCAGTGGGGGTCACCGCAAAGGCCGCTTGGGCCGGAGTTGGAGCTGGCGTTGGCCTCAGCTGCAGCGTGAGCAGTTGCGCGGCATACCTCTCTGTTGGGACGATGACTACGGTGAACATCCCAACAATCAATGCAGCTTCTTAGATGCAATTTTTCAGCGCCTGCAAGGCATGGAAGTGACATTGGACAACGCCTGTTCAGTTTCCGTCTTAACGTAAAAGTTGAAGAGAACGGTGGCTCTCCAAGCTATTCCAAGTACACACTCCAGGAGGTCATCTGAAATTGGAACTACAGCGGTTTGACATCCCTTGGATGTGAAGGTAAGGGTTATGCTGAAGTTGTGCTTGATTGTGCTTGCATGATCTTGCAGCGTCTTGGAATGCGAGGTTTGCGTCTTTGGTGCGCCGACAACACCTTCAGGCTGGATGTGCTCTCAGGTCTTCGGCGCCAGCATCTCTGCCTTTTGCTGCAACTTCAATGTGGCGGAAGGGAAGCACGATTGCCGCTGAGGGCACCATCATGCCTTGCCCTTGGTTCAATGCGTACTACAACAAGTGCGGGCAAGATTCTTCCTCGACGTGCACGAGGAAACTGTGGAGAGAAAATGCTGCGTGGCGAACAAGTCCGGATCAATGAAGATAGTGGGATGGGAAGCAATGCCATAGCCCGGTGCCGCAGCAGTAGCAACCAAAGCGATGGTGTACATCGAGATTGCATCTCACTTCGGGCAACCACAGCGTTATTCCCCGCAAACCTAGACCTAGTCTTGACTCGGCTTACTTTATTATACGCTTGGCCTTGAGCCCCATCGTTTGCAAACCGTCCCAAGTAGTCGTGGGACAATGGTTATTTCAACGGCTAGAGCTTCTTCTCTATGCGAGCGCATGTCACACAGCTCCGCAGCTTTTTGGCTTACGATCGCTGGGGCTGCTCAACATAAATGAGTTCCGCTTTTGCTCGCTTTGGCGGTTGTGAACGACCTTGTTTACAATGAAGTCCGCAACTGACGGCAGCTAGCCCCCTGGTGACCATCAACAGAACGAACGACATTTGTCGATCAGCGACACCTGAGTCCAACCATCACCTATCATTTCGGTTTCAGAGTGACGTAACCTAGTGGTCGACTATGTGAGTGGCTCCTATACCGTGCTTCATGAGATGTTGAGGGAACGTGACAGGGTCTTTGTTGATCACGACATTATCCATTGTTCTGATCTATGCGATGGGCAAGGTCTTTAAGGTATGTGTCGAGAGAAGCAGAATCCTGGCCCGCCACTCGATCTTGTTGGCCGATGCGGCAAATGAAGCACAAATACAGGCCATGCAGTCTCTCGGCCATAGTCTGCATTTTGCTTTGAACATGAATTTCCGTTTCAGTCCTGGAACTTACAGGAGGATTCCATATAGCCTGTTGCGTGCTACGTGCCTCGAAATGCGGAGCTTCAAAGTATCGAAAGGGAACCCATCCGGAGCCAAACTCTGCAAGCACCAACTCCCAAAAACCTAAAGTGCTTGAATCCCCAGCCCAAACCGTGAACCCAAAGTAAACGTGAGCGGCTGATCGCGTAGTTACACGGAGGCAGTGGCTGGCAGTGCACGATGAGAGACAGCAACTGCTGGGTCTGACTGTGATGGCACCTCGGAGAAGTTTACAGGGGACGGTGCAAGGCTAGGGGTTTGGAGGATCTCAGGTTTAAGCAAACGGGTTGCAATGGACCGAAGCACGGCTTCTGGAATAGTTTCTTACGGGGCTGCTGCTATGGGATCAGTTTGAACTCTGGACTCTGCAGCAAATCACGCCTTCAGGTGTGCTGGAAGTCTCCGACTTCAAAGGTTCTTTTCCTGGCTTCATCATATCATGCCCACGGACGTGGGTGTTTAGGGATCTCAGCTGTGGTGTTTGGAGCTTCGGGTGCAACTTTTTGGATGCACTTGAGTGTTTGGGATGATGGGCCTAGCCCATCACCAAGGGCGTTTGGCATTGGATTTCTGTTGAGATAGCCGCCGGCCCCTTCACCCTGGAGCCGAAAAAGGCGAGCCATCAGTCCTGAGTCCTGAGCCCACAACCTAAAATTCCAGAGATCGCCGTTTGTGAGTTGGAGCACTGCGACACTCAGAGGGTTGGGTGCGAAGTAAATATTCCGTGTCATAACGAGGAGCGGAGTTGGTTATACGTTGCCACGGCGATGGGAGGGGGGGTTAGAGTTCCGTGGCTCCGGGTCTTGGCTTGAGGTTGGCTTTAGAGTCGGACTCAGTTTTAGATCACAGGTTCTATTTACAGCGTTCGAGTGCAGCGGGAGGTTTGTGGTGTGTTGGCGGATTTAGGGTGGCTTTTGGTCGAGAGGCACAGGGGCCCGAATTTCATCCTGCTTGCGTTGAAGAGTTTAGTTGAGTTTGGGGTCTCAACGTCTGACTGCCTATGGTGTAAAGAGAATCTGCTGCTCTGCAGTTCCTGCGGTCCTTGAGGGATCGACACAGTTGTTCACATCAGTGTGTTTCAGAGTCCAGGTCGTAGTCTATGCTTGATTGCTACTTTGGTACCTTGGGCCCATGATGTAGAATATGCAAAAGTGTCAGTGTCTATTACGGGAAGACAGATCGAAGAAGAGACAAGGTTGACAGGACACGATGTAGACCCTATAGGCTTCCAAGCGTACTCCTGCAGGATCTCAATAGTTGAAGCCATTCGATGTGAGGAAAACTTCCACGGATGTCGAGGGCCAGCAGAGCGCCAACGAGCACTTGGCAGCGGAGCACTTGGCTTCTGAACTCACTCTCCTTCAGAACATATGGATCCAGATGTGGTGTTTTTTATTAGCGCCAACGCCGGGTCCTAAAGCCAAAACGCCAAACCGCAGACCCCTGGTACACTTACCCTTGAAGTTTCGATATGTTGCGAAGGCAGAGCAGAATGCCGGATTCTGACCACAGCATCACCCCAGGAGTCCTGTACTTGCAATCTTTGTCCCAACCCCTAAGAAGCCAAGTAAGGTACATTCTGAAGCTCCGTAGCTACTCGAACCCCCGGACCCGACTAGCACCCCAGATCACCTGAATCGAGGCGTTGAGTGAAGACTGCAGCAACTTCGTGAAAACTTACCAGGCCGGTCTTCCTCCAAGCCAAATTGAGGTTCTAACACGCCATCCGGTACACTGTGCAAGCTCAGCGTCGATCTGATATGTGTTGGCAACATGGGAAGCTCTGTGTTCCAGAGCTATCCAGCTTCAAGCTTCAATCCACACCAGATATGCCGAAGTATGCAACCAAGCGCTGCCTTCAACAAGTTCTGAAGATCCATGCTAGAGCCCAGAAGAAAGTGGGGCAATCGTAAACTCGACTGCGATGGCGGCATGGCTACAGAAGGCCTGCAACCAAGCTGCGTGGTGGGAAGGCTGCCTGCGACTAACAAGCTCAGGCATGCTGAGCATCCACCTCGCAGGAATGCAGCTGGACGCTCACGCAGTGCAGGAGTTTTGCGAGTGGCTCCCAGCAGAGCTGCAGCGCATGAAGCAGTCGAAGGTTCCAAAGCTTTGCGTGACCAGTGACGACATCGTCTTGGCTCATGATGTAGATCTTTCTCGGAATAACTTGGGCGATGAAGCCATGCGGATCCTGCTCCTGACTTTGAAGCAAGCCAGGGTTGTCATTGGCATTGCCAAATTCTATCAGAACAGACTTGGCTGCCAGAGCGCGACACTTCTGTCACAGTGGATCAGAACGGCGCCTTTTCCCCTCTTCGAGCTGCATCTTTCGAACAACTGGATCGGAACAACAGGAGCGTTAGAGCTCATCAAAGCGGTAGCGGAGACCAGCCGCTACCCCTCCACACGACCCGGGAGCAACGGGCCTTTGCCACTATGGTTGCGACTGGAACACAATTATATCCGGGAGGCAGACAGTTTTGAACAAAAGGCTGAGCTTTGTCTTCAGGCTGCTCGCCCTCACACGAAGGGAAAGCTCATCCGTTGGTTCGCACCCAGAAGTGGGCATGGATCATATGCATGCAGAACTGACAATTGCCGCCATTGCACCACCAATCACACCCCGGTGATTCACATCCCTCACCTGCGTCGGGATACCTTTAACTCAGCAGCAGGCAGCGTAGCTGCTAGTCATCTTGCCACGCCAGAGTCGCCAGAGTACGAGGCTGTGGACTAGCGGAATACGCAAAAAGAACTCCGATCCGAGACATTCAGATAGCCTTCCCCCTCAGTCCTGTCAGCCCTCCCGACGCAGCTTCTACTGTCGCAGGCGCCAGGAGAGGGCCCCGTGGCAGCTCGAATCCAGCAGGCACGCTCCGGGTCTCAGTGGTTCTGTTCAGGTGTAGATTCTTACTGTGTGTATACAAATATTATATATATATATAATATCATAGGGTGTTTGGCTTATCCTCGAGCCGTCCTAACCTTGAAGCTCTAAAGCTCCCTAAAATACAAGCCTCAATCGCAAAGACGAAAGACCCGAAGGCGAGCTTGGACGATGCCTCCTGTCGGGGTTTCAGGGTTTGTTGCTTCAGTTGCGGGTAAAGTTTCATTGACCCTGAGGCTTGAACCCGTATTCCCTTGGCTGACTCTTTGGTTGAAGTGTAGACTTCTGCAGATGGAGTGGGGTTTGTGACTAAGCCCTTGCTTTCATGGTTCTAGAATCAAAGCCTCATAATCTTTTTGCCATAACTGGGTAGAATTTTAACATTTACCTTCGAACGCAAACCTTCGCAACGGATGGGTCATGTCGGTTCTGATTGCAATGCTGAGCTGGGCCGGCCGCTTTCTCCAGCCTGCATTGACGAAACTGGGCGTTGAGATCTTGCAGGAACTTCTAAATGCCACCGGCGGTGTCTAACGTCGCTGCGGAGACTCTGCAGCGTTATGCAGCGTCTGCGCGAGCGACTGAGTGAGGAGATGCGCTGAGCGAGGGAGTGAGTGAGTGAGTCTGCGAGTCAGTGAGTGAGTGAGCGAGTGAGTGGGTGAGCGAGTGAGGTGAGTGAGGTGAGTGAGGTGAGTGGGGCGCGTGAGGTGCATGAGGTGAGCGAGGCGAGTGAGGTGAGTGAGTCAGTGAGAGAGTGAGCGAGTGAGCGAGTGAGGTGGGTGAGCGAGTGAGTTGAGTGAGTCAGTAAGCGAGCGAGGTGAGGGAGTGAGCGGGTGAAGTGAGTGAGTGAATGAGGGAGTGAGTGAGTGAGCGGATGAGTGAGCCCAAACAGGCTCTTGGATGAAATGTCCAAGACATTTGCGTGAGGTGAATGCGGACCGCACAAGAAGGTCGTGCCCGAAGACACTGAGACGCCGGTGTCTATACTCGTTCACTCACCCACCCACTCACTCACCTCACCCACCTCACTCACCTCACTCACCTCACTCGCTCACTCACTCACCTCACTCGCTCACTCACTCACTCACTCACTCGCTCACTCCCTCCCTCTCTCCTTCACCTCACTCGCTCATCCTTTAGGTGCTTTCTCAGAGCTCCATGAATGTTCCCCAGTTACATCCCCTTCAAACCTCTTTGCAG